CTCTCCTCCCGCCTCCCGTGTGGCTCTTTCCCCGTTTGCTAACTTCTCGCGCCAGCTTTCGAGCCGGTGGCCGTGCTCCCGCAGCGGTCCTTCATGTTTGGCGGCCGCTCCGGCCAGAATGTCTCCTCGGTGGCCTTCCGTGTCCGCGCCTAAGCACCAGCGGGCCCACTTGCACACTGGGCGGTTGTCCGGCGCCGGGAACCGGGCCGTCCAGTGCGCGGAATAGAGCAACCCCCTTCGCCGCTGATCCGCCACAAACGCGCTCTCATCCTCCAAAACCTCTGTCCTCTGCCTGCCCGCCTCTCGGCGTTTGGCCTTCCATTTGCTGTTTCTCCCGGCACCTGTCTGTGTATTTGGCCATGCCATTCCTTGCCAGAGCGCACTCCGCGCAGGTACACGCTTTACAGTCGCCGTGCAGGGAGGAGGGGGGGGGGGGCAGAAAAAAAAAGGAAGGACAAAGTAACCTCAATACAGGCGTGGGGCTTTGGGTGACGGGAGGGGTGCCCCATGGGCCGGAGGTGTCCCGGGAGGCAGGCGCTCCGTGGGCCGGCGCTTTCGAGGATTGAGCCCGGTGTCCAGGCCAGACAAGGAGGCAGCTCTTCTGGCGGCTGCCGCTTGGATGGCGGCCACGGTCTGGACCATGTGCTCCAGCTCCTGAATTGTGGAATGTGTGTGAGAGAGGGGAGGAGAGGCGGAGAGGGGAGGAGAGGCGGAGAGGGAGAGAGGCGGAGAGGGAGAGAGGCGGAGAGGGAGAGGGGCGGAGGGAGAGAGGCGGAGGGAGAGAGGCGGAGGGAGAGAGGCGGAGGGAGAGGGGCGGAGGGAGAGGGGCAGGGGGAGAGGGGCAGAGAGAGAGAGAGAGGGGCAGAGAGAGGGGCAGAGAGAGGGGCAGAGAGAGGGCGTGCATGCTCGTGAGGGGGAATGTACATACCTTCAGCTGACGCAAATCCCACGAGTCGAAGGTGAGGCAGAAACGCCGCGCGCGTGCGCGGATCGCCGCGTTGGTCACCGAGAGAGAGGGGTCTGTCTGCAGGAGGTAGGCCACGGCCAAGAGGCCAGACACACGGCTCCCATTTGAGCAGCAGACCAACACTCGGCCGCCATTCTGCGCAGCGCCGGTCGAGGAGGAGGGGGGCCACGAGGAGATCGAGTCACGCAAGGGTGAGTGCGCCAGGTGGGGGAGGGAGGGCGCGCTGCCGGTCGCGTACATTGACGCGCACACACACACACACACACACACACACCTGTAAAATGAAATGGATTGACTGGCAGAGGTCGCGCAGCAGCGGGATGGGAAGCGTGCCGCTTGGCTGCGGCCCGACATCCCACTCGACCAGGGAACTGAAGCAGCGCCGTGCGGCCAGCGACTCGGCCAGCTCCGGCCCGGGGTGGCGGTCTGCCGGCTGCCGCAGCATCAGCACATGGGTGATGGAGGCGGACTGTGCCAAAGGGGAGGACGCGGGCGAGGGCGGGAGGCGGGGTCAGCATGCAGGCGACTGGGGTCGGGCGATGGGCATGGACGCGCGGCTGACGGGGGCACCTGTAGAAAGGGGTTCTGCGGGGCAACCACCGACCAGGGCCCGATGAACAGGCCGGGCGTCACCTCGTGTGCATCCCATTGCATCTCGTACCGCCACCAGGAGGGCGGGTCGGGCCGGGGGAGACTGGTGGCAAAGGGCTCCGGCGCCGCCCGGCTGGCGGAGCGGCTAAACATTGGGGCGTCAAGTGGGTGGGCAGAGGGGGAGACAGAACAAGAAGGCGAGAGGGGGGGGGGGGGGGGGGGGGGGGGGGGGGGGGG